GGGTTGATGGCATATACCTCTGGGGGTGTGCGAGAGTCTCGCTCCACGAGGCCCCTCTCCTCGGCGAAGTCGAGAATGACGCTGATGGGATGCATTAGGGGTGTCCGTGGGTGTTCCAAGAGAACAGGCTGCGCCCATGCCTTCAGGTTGTTCTTGTACCCTCCCCCGGACTTGGCTTGGCCATGCTGGGGGCGATCATCCGAGGGGGCCGGACCTTTGGACTGGTGGAACGGGGCCCCCGGTCCCCGGTTGCTCCTGTCATCTGGCCTAGGGCGCTGCTGCTCGGAGTTTTGGTGACATTTTTCTACCTCCTCGGCTTCTGCGTACCGGTCCCCCCGCTGCAAGGCTCTTATGTAATCGCGAGGAGGCTTGATGTTGAGGCTCCTTGAAAAGTTCCCGGTGCCGAGGACCGTCTGTAGGAGAGCCAGAAGGGTCCCATCGTCGGCGCCATCGATCTTATCTGTCTCTAGCCTCCAGCGTTCCAAGAAGTCTCGGAGGGTTTCCTCCTTCCGTTGCCTTACCGTTAGTAAGTGAGAGAAGTGTTTTCTTGACCGACGCCTTCCTGTAAATTGTGTCAAGAAACACTGGGCTAGTTCTTGCCAAGAGTCAATGCTACCCTCGGGCAACCGGTTGAACCATTCATATGTTAGTCCCTCCAAAGTGGAAAGGAACCAACATCACAAATACTCATCTGATGCCCCCACCATCATCATGTTGTTCTGGTACCTGCTGTAGTGCTCCTGGGGGTCAGTCTTTCCTTCGTAGGGCTTGATGGGTTGCCCTCGGTATTTTCTCGAAATCTGGGCCGCCAATACCCTTGGGGTAAATGGCGTCCTTGTCCGGAGCTGGATGACGGGTTCTCTGGATCCCTCGGCGAATTTTCTTTGCATCTCCTCCATCTTGGCCAGCATGGTGGCGTATTTGGAGTCCGCCTGTGAAGCAGAAGCGGTCGTGTGTGCCTGGCGGGCCTCCATTTCATCAAGGCGGCGTTGAAGGGCCTCAATAACCTCGTCTCTGTTGTCCCTAAGGAGGGCCTCTGCCCCCTGCGATTGTACCCAGGCTGAGTGGGCCTGGTTGATGTGGTGCTTGGCGTCGTCAGCATGGAGCAGTCCCTTGCCTTTGTCCCGAGGGGGATGCCTCTTGTCTGCCCTCGAGACAGATCCCCCGCTTTCTTGAGGTCTTTGGAGCGCCTTACCCCCGAGGCGGTCTTGGACCCCTCGGCGATTTGGCATTCCTCCGAGCCTCTCGAGGGCGAAGGTCCGGTGCCTATCTTTGTTTGCATCGCACTGGTCCCGGGACTGGACTTGCTGGGAAGCGATATCCTGAACAATGACCCCTTCGTTGTTCCCTAACCGAAGGATAGGATTTATGAAGGGGGCGGAGGAGGGGGAGCGGCGTTCTCCCCGACCTGTGGCTGAAGTGGTACCAGAGTGCCGAAGGCACCTGGATTCCGGGTGAGTGTCTGGATGAAGGCAGAGAATGCCGACTGTACGTGAATCGTGAGGACCGGAGGGCTCACTTGGTTTTCGCTCCGATCCTTCTTACGAGCCTCAATGCCGAGGCAGGCATCGGGAGCATTCTGCTGGAGCTGAAGGCGCAAGTCAACAGTAGCCTGTTCCAACTCAGCGATGACCCCGCCCTCGGAAGCCTTGTTGGAGGCTCCGCGGGCGTTGACTTCGCCGAGGGCCAGGTTGTTGTCCCTGAGGGTCTTGGATTGAGCACGAGTTCTTCCCATTTTTGTATGTGTTTGGTGAAGGGGAGGGTTGCTTACTTGATTGTTCGACCTCTTAACGAGAGCACCAAATGATGGATAGTGTGCCTGGGGGGTAGGTTATCCGAGGGCTAATTACGGGAAATAGCTTAGAGAGAAGTCAGAACAATAAGTAAGAGAGAAAGAGTGAGTATTCGATATATGAATGTTGTGATGCTTTACAATGGAAAACGGGGCTGCTATTTATAGCAGCAATAAATGCTAGGTTAGGACACATGTCGAACATCTGACGACCGAGGGTCACCTTAATAGGTGTGGCACCGGCATTCGCATGTGGCTGCATTAAATGCGATGGTTGGATGCGACATTTGTACTTGGTACGGTGATCCAGGGCATGTGGACAGGAAATCCTGTCGAGGAGGACGCCTTCGGCTGTACCCCTACTGTGCCGAAGGCTCCATGGGCGGGGGCCTCTATGTGCCGAGGGCTGTAGGTGCCGAAGGCTCCTGTTTTCCGCCGTCTTCTCCCACTAGCTTTGTATGCCTAAAATCAACTGTCTTGTGAGATTTTGGAGCCCTCGGCTATGGGCTGAAGGGTGTTCACATGTGCAGAGTGGGCTTCTATGATTTGGGCCTGTTTTGCTTCCTGGGCCTGTTGGGCCTGTATTGGAGTAGCAGGAGTCTGTGGGCCGGGGGTCCCTGAGCCATATACTCCATCATCCATCAACTATGCAGAAATTGATTTAATTAGATTTTATTGTATTTGTCTTTTTTATTAGGAAAATGAGTTTGGATAAATTTGTAATTCGGAATAAGAGGTCTTTAACTACAGGAGATAGTTTTTGAAACGTTCCTAATCAGTCTATCTCAAGTAATGCAATTGTTGTTGCTTCGAATGTAAGTACTGTTCGAGATGATTTTAATGACATTAGGGGAGACAAAAGAGCCCGCACAGATAGTACGTCTGAGTGGGATATCATTAGCGATTCAGCATTACAAAAGCCACTCAATGAATATGCGCCTTGAGTAAGAGATGATGTGATGAGAGCATATGTTGCTAAAGGTGCTTTTCAACCATTGTCTCATAAATTTCCACAAACTTTATTTGGGGAAAAAATTAACCTTGCGGAGTTTTATTCATGCGATTTTTCATCTGTTGATCGAATGGAGCTGAAAGAGCAACTCCTGGTGTGGATATATGAAATGAGAACAAATGAATTATTTTCTGCCGTACAAACTATTGGTGAAGTTTGTAAAAAGATGGTTGAACTTAAAGTTCACAATTCTTTTCACTTGGTATATCGTCTGATTGAGTTGACTTTAGTATTACCAGTTGCAACAGCCACCGTTGAAAGGGCCACCTTCTCTGCGATGAATATTATCAAGATAGATCTTCCCAATATGATGGGAGATGACTATCTTACAGATTGCTTGGTGTGCTACTGTAACACCCCGCCCCCGCAAGACCCAATGTAGTTACTCCAGACCTCTAGTGCTATCCTCACAAACCGCCACAAGTCTTTTTCGCGCACTTTGTCCTCACTCATGCGTGCACTGAGAAAACTCTCAGGGGGTCACCCATCCCAAGATTACTCCCATGCAAGCACGCTTAACTTTGGAGTTCTTAGGCGATGAGTTCCCTTAAAAGGAGATGCACATCTGTTGGTATGAGTAGTACTATTAATCCATTTATATTAAATCTCAAGTGTTACAATCACCCCCACTTAGGATCGCAACGTCCTCGTTGTGCCCTTAAACAAATCTCAATCAAACCCCAGAATCTTGCCCCGCTAAATGCCCGCCCAATATCCAACGGATTAGCACACTGTCGCAGGGTTGCTCTGATACATACCACTTGTAACAACCCGGCCCCGCAGGACCCGAGGTAGTTACTCCAGACCTCTAGTACCGTCATCATAAACCGCCACAAGCCTTTTCCGCGCACTTTGTCCTCACTCGTGCGTGCCCTGAGAAAACTCCCAGAGGGTCACCCATCCCAAGACTACTCACCTGCAAGCACGCTTAACTTTGGAGTTCTTAGGCGGCGAGTTCCCTTAAAAGGAGATGCACCTCTGTTGGTATGAGTAATACTATTCATGCATTTATATTAAATCTCAAGTGTTTCAGCTACATCGAGAGAGATGTTTTTAGAAGCATTGATAATGAAACTATTATGCAACATTTTCAGAATATGAAAACTCGTAGGCTTGATTTACCAAAGTTGCAGTAGTGAACTATTTAATATGTGATTAACTATTCCGTATAATTTAATACATATTTTAAACATTTTTATTACATTTAGAGTTTTTATTATAGATTAAGTTTAGTGTCTAGTGTGCCTCGCTCTCACAAATCTCTGGGTCCGCCACTGCTCACAACCAAGCGGCATTCCGCAACCACTTGATTCGTTTTTTGCATATATCAATTCGTGTCTAGAAGCCTTGTTTACGTTCCTTCCCCCGTTTATTAAGAGCCTCCCCACAATACTCTTATCTTCCCCCACAGGTTCCTACCCCTGTGAACCTCCCAGCTTCCGAGTATAATCTCCCTAAATTCCTCCTCTCTCACCCAAAGATTCTCGAATTTAAACGGTCGGTCAGTAGACAATCCTTCCAGTGATGTCGCCCTTGCCCCTCCAAACATATTTCGCCATCCGTCATTTACTAAAATAGGGTCGAGCATTCCTCTCTCCATGCCGTTGTCCCTCGTCCTCTTTCCCAAGTCCACTGGTATCCATCAAAACTGAAATCACTCAAACCACAGCTCCAAACTGCCTCCCGAAATCCACGTATCAGCCATGCCTGTCGGGGTAGTCCACCCGTTTTCTCATTTGCATGCATGATATCGTTAAAATCTACCATCACAAGCCACAGTGTCGAGTCCCGCTTAGCCATCCGTTTAAGAATACTCCATGTCATCCTACGTTTATCACATTCTGAACATCCATAATAGCCCGTATACCTTCAAATTGGTTCTCCTTATAGTCTGATTAAAGTATCTATAAAATTTTGACTAGATTCCAATACCTTGACTTCGATTTCATCACTAAGATTATCTCATACCAAATTTGGTAAAGTTTGTGTGGTTCTAAATCATTCTACTTTATTCTTACTTTATCGATTTAATATCAAGCACATATAAGTCACTTTTTATTGATTTGCGTGTCACCCTCTTTTGTTCCATTGTTAATGGGACAGAGGGAATAATAATTACTCATAGTGATTCCTTAATAAATAGCCATACATATGATAATTGATTTTTTTTTCTTGTTTTACTTCATTGATGAGTATGAAAAGTTGGGGATTTGGATCCTCTGCTACACGACAGAGTTTCCTTGCGGCATCCAATAGCAAGGACAACAAGGGAGGAGAATTGTGGGGCTGTCAAGATCGAATCGCGTGCTATTACAGCCACACACCCTACTTGGCTACCATAGTCAGGCAGAGAATCTGGATCTGAAAGTTGGAGCCTAGCAAGTATCAAGCGGCAACTTTTTTACGTAGTAGTATAACATACATATTATTAAGACTGAAGCCTTAGAAAGAACACTTCCTCTGGCTAGAGAGCCGACCCTAGAGGAAACCCTAGGCTGCCAACTCCGAACATCTCCAAAATCTGATTTTCTAGCTTTCTTTTCTTTAATCAATAAAAATATCGGAAGATGGTGACATTCTCTGAGCAGTGAAGGATCGAATCAAAGATTTTTCTATGCTCCCACCCTTTTTTAATTTCTACTTTTGAGAGTTTTGGTACGGCTTCTTCGTTAGCCGAGACTTTTATTTGCCAAAGGTGAGCGTGTGGTATGTTATTCTCCTAGCAATGTCTAGAGGTTGTATGTGTTTTGATCAATGTAATTGATGTGGTGAATTTTTGTTATTCATGAATGTAGCAAACCGATGATTCAGAAAATTTTTATTCGGCTGAGTTTCCTTTGTTGGCTGTTGGTCAAATCAATTCTCCCTTTCCGGTGAAGTCGGGATTCTTGATTTAATTTGTTTCCTTTTTAGTTTGGACAATTTAGTTTCTTTCAATTGCATTTTGAGTAGCAAGTTCAACATTGCTCTTAGATTAGTCAACATAATTGCGGGATTAGCAAATTTGTTTGGTCCTCGGAGATCATCCGAATATATTTCTCATCTTAGTGTAGTCTCGATTTATTATATTGTTTTATCTCCGATTACTTTTATCATTAATAAAACAAGTTTCTTTTTTGTCAAAAAAATAAAGAACACAATCAAAAATTAAACCGCTTGAAAGAACACAGACTCCAATGTCAAAGAAGATGAATGGTTCTATTAACCCCTGTTGAACGCTTTAATCTCTGCAAACCGTTCCACTAATCAAAAACTGTAACAATAATGTTGGTTACTACCCGGGTCCGGCCACATAATTTCTTGAAATATTTAACAAGCAATTGATTCAGTTCAGAACTTTCAAGTTTCAACTATCTCAACTCCACCGCACACCGCCAGAATCCGTCGTCACAGCAAGTCCGCCGGTAAGCTGTACATGCTCGTACGTTGTTGAATATAATTTATGAACTTATGAACTCTATATATGCGCGCAGCTGGTCAGACCTACTACTAATCCATGTCCCTGAAGCGCAAGTATGACGTGGGCCAACCCTCTAATGACAGGAGGAGAGTTCAACGAATCATTTCTATCGGTAACATCTAAATCCAACATTTTTTGCCTCATTCTCCCTTTCTACGTGAAGAGGAATCTTGATACACTAGGCCACTAGTTATGGTGTTGCTGTCAAAATGATAAGGGAAGCTTGTAACAACTCTATGGGAGGGCAAGAGGCAAGACCATCTGATAATTTTGAGTGACTTTGTTAAAAATATTAATTTGAGGCCCATATTATTATAATTACATGTAAAACTACATTATACAAAAAAATTACAATGACAATGAGTTTGAAATATTAATTCATTAATGCCGATAGATGAAAATTTGAACATACATTTGAGTTTAATTTTATGGGAATGCCAACGCCTTTTTAACTTTAAAAATGAAAAATGAAATGAGAAAAATTGAATATATAGTGATTAGTGAATTTAGACACCTTAAATGGCACTTTCAGTTTTATGAATACTCTACATTATACTTTAAATCATACTGGTCCTAATTATACTAGCATTACTACTAAACATTAACAAATTTGAGGCCCCCATGTTATGCTCCGTATTTAAACTCTTTTGGAAACTCAATTAGATGGAAAGGCTCCATGCTCAACATCAGCTCAAAATCAGATGAAGAAACAATCGCCTCTTCATAGTGCTTCTAGCACTCATGTCAACATTAAGTCACAAAACAGTGGTGGCATTCAACTCTCAATCTTCCTCTGCGGTATATGCTTTGACTACAAACCAAGCTCCCAAATGTTTAAAAATGGAAAGTGTAACCACTCCTTCTGTTCTGCATGCATGGCGAAGTACGTGACCTCCCAAATAAACCAAAACATTGTGAAAGTCACCTGTCCACACCCTAATTGTCCCTTGGAACAGAACCCCAAATATTTGCACCCCATTTTGCCCAGGAAAGTGATTGACAAGTGGAACACAGCTATATGCGAGTCGACGATTTTGGCGTCTCAGAAGACTTACTGCCCCTTTAAGGACTGTTCGGTTCTGTTGGTCGACGATGGGAGAGAAGTTGTGACCCGCTGTGAGTGCCCTTCTTGTCATAGGCTGTTTTGTGCACAATGTAGGGTTCCATGGCATGCAAGTGTAACCAGCTGTGAGGAATACCAAAGGATGAAGAGGAGGAGATATGTTGATCAAGACCTGGATAACAAGTTCTTTAACTTGGCCAAGGATATGAAATGGAGAAAATGTCCCTATTGCAATATGTTTGTGCAGAGAGATGGAGGATGTGAACACATGGCTTGCAGGTTCTGTTGCATGCAACTTCTTATATGAGTGAATATATAATTTGTGAAGTGGTTTTAATACATTAGCTCTGATTGTGTCTTTGTAGGTGTGGAGGTCACTTCTGCTATTATTGTGGGAAGAATTGGACGTCTGGCCATATGTGTAGTAGGGTATAGCAGTGGAGACAAAATGGAGATTTTGGGTTTCAATATTGGCATCATTTGTGTTTCATTGTTCATTTTTGTCCATGACTATTTAGGGTACTTTAATACCTTGATTTCAACTATGTATTTCTTGTCATTGTTTTTCCTTCCCATCATTTATGTTGTGTGACACTTGAAATGAATGAATATACCAATTTTATGATTAGGAACGAACTCATAATTAACAAGCACGCATTTTTAAAAGGTACAAAGCTACTCCGTCTTTTGGTACAACTACTATGTAGGGGTGGGCAATTCGATTTACGGTGCGGGTTTATTCGGTTTCGTTTTATTCGGTTTGGGAGAATTTGTACCAAACTAAAACCATTTGAATTTCGGTTTGGTTTCGATTTGGTTTCGGTTCGGTTTGAAGTTCGGTTTTCCAAAATAAAAATTATTAGTACAATTTAGTTTTATTTGATTCGGTTTCTTATGTTTATTATTTTGTTTGATAAAGTTTTATATTTTAGGATTTGAACATGAAAGTAGTAGTCCATCTCATCTTCTTTTATTTATTATTATTTAAATAAAATGTAAAACAAAATAAAAGATAGAAAAATAATAATAAAATATTATAAATTCAAACTTCTAACATCTTTTTGATCACTAGAAAATATATTCATTTCTCACAAAAAATAAATTTATAGTACGTTAGCATTTATAATATCACATAAAATATTCAAAAAAACTAAATGAGTCAGTAGTATAAATGTTGTAATACTCACAATTTTATTCAAATGAATCATTTTAAAAATATAAATGCAATAGATTATTGTTATTGCCAAATATCTTTTCATACATGTACAGTACAAAACTTGCAAAATACAAATATGTCGTATTAGTTAATTTTGTTATAATGAATTGTATGAAATGTGTAAAAGTTAAAATGATACTTCGTATATCCTAAATTTGTATTTTTCATATCTAAATGGGAAAACTATCAATTAAGCCTCCGTACTATACCGAAAAAATCGATTAGGACCTCGTACTTTACAAACACTCAATTAAGTCCTCGAACTATTAAAAAACGTTCAATTAAGCCCTTTTGGTGGGTAAGTAACCGATTTCCCAATTAAACGACGACGATAGCGACGATGTGCTCGAACCCCAGCAACGGCGGCTTCCGGGAAACATGTTACATTTAACCGGGAAACCGGTTACTTACCGACCGAAAGGGCTTAATTGAACGTTTTTTAATAGTTCGAGGACTTAATTGAGTGTTTGTAAAGTATGAGGACCTAATCGACTTTTTCGGTATAGTACGAGGGCTTATTTGATAGTTTTCCCTATCTAAATTATTCACTTATATGCTAAAGATGAAGAGTGAAAAAAATACAAAGTATCTATGCTTATATAATAAAGGCCAACATCCGTTAGTTTGGTACTTTTTCCATCCACTTCTAACTTTTTCTGTCAAAATTTAGACTTCAAGCTTTTCTAATCAACCGACAATAATGGTCAGCACGTAGTCACGTACATATACTTTCAAAAGATGCCTTTACTTGAATCACTTTTATTCTCATACTCCCTCCGTCCCGAAAAGTTTCACCAATTTGACTTTCTTGGTCAATGACAATCAACTTTGACCAATGATATTTTTTAATACGAGATTATTTAGAATATGAAAAATTACATTAAAATGCTTCTTATTCAAATTTTTTCATAAAAATATACTCCCTCTGTCCCGCTAACAATGGGACAAGAAGAAGTGGCACGTACATCAATAAAAAGTGGTTTATGTGGTTGATATTGAATTGATAAAGTAAGAATAAAGTAAGAATGATTTAAAACCACACAAACTTTACCAAATTTGGTATGAGACAATCTTAGTGGGACGGACCGATAAGGTAAAATAGGACGATCATAACGGGACGGAGGCAGTAAAATTTATAAATTATATATAAATATAACAATTAAAATCATTGTCCAAAATTAGTCATCATTGATCAAGAAAAGTTAATATGACAACCTTTTTCGGGACGAAGATAGTATTTGTCTCATGCACTCCGCCACTAACAGCCTAATAGGTATCCCCTATAACTCATCTTCTTCTAATATACAATTCTCTTGCTTTGCACTTCATTTTTATTAACTTTATTGTCTTCACAATTCGTCTGCAAAAATGGTTGCAGATTGTCTTCTTTCTAATCACATTTCAATTAATGTGTGTGTACGGAAAAGATCCTATCCAGTCAGAGGGACATGATCCTCCATCCGGCCATCTCTGTTTGGGGCGGTTCCGGGTGGGTCGGATGTGGGGAAAGTCTAAGGACTAAGTCCATCATCTTATTGATTTGATCAAATGACCTACGGGTAAGATATTTTCCAAGTGTATATACTAGTATGTGATGGAGTATATGGCCCGGGAACACCCGGCCCACAGACTCCTACTACTCCAGTAAAGGCCCAACAGGCCCAGAAGGCCCAACAGGTCCAAATCACAGCGCCCAGAGTACCAAGCAGCCCGCAAGGTGCACCAGGGGTGCCTTCGGCCCCCTGGCCGAAGGCTCTAAACTCTCACATAACGGGTTTTTCAAGCAAACTAAGAAACTGGGAGGAAAACGGCAGAAAACAGTAGCCCTCGGCACCTGGAGCCCTCGGCACTCAGGGGTCCTCGGCACTAAGAGCCCTCGGCTAGTCCTCTGCAGCCGAGGGCACCTCTCCCGACATGATATCCGCATCACATGCGTACAGATCACCGTACCCTGTACAAGATGTCCCATCCAACAGCCGCATTAAATGCGGCCACATGCGGCTGCCAGCGCCAACCAGTTGAGGTGACCTCTCGGCCAATGGGCGCTTGACGCGTGTCCCTGTCCGGCATTTATTGCTACTATAAATAGCACCCCATTTCCCCATTTGTAACCACGCTAAAAACGCTCCACACTTATAATATACTTTCTCTCTCTACATTTACTTGCTCTGACTTCTCTCTTGTTACTCCCCGTAATAATCCCTCGGATAAGCTACCCCCCGGGTACACTATCCATCATTTGGTGCTCTCGTTGAGAGCTCGAACTATCAAGTAAGAAACCCTCCCCCTTCGCCAAACACTAGCCCTCTACCAAAATGGTGAGAACAACACGTGCCAACTCCAAAAACGTGGAAGACAAGAACCTGGCCCTCGGCGACGTCAACGCCCCCGAAGCCTCTCACAGGGCTCCCGAGGGCGGTGTCATCGCTGGGCTGGAACAGGCGGCTGTCGACCTACGCCTTCAGATCCAACAGAATGCCCCCGATGCCCGCCTCGGCATCGAGGCCAAGAAGAAAAACCGGAGCGATGACCAAGTCAGCCCTTCGGTTCTCACCATCGACGTTCATTCGGCGCTCTCCACCTTCATCCAGACGCTCACTCAGAACCCAGGTGCCTTCGGCACCCTGGCTCCGGCTCAACCCCAGGTTGGGGAGAACATCATACTTCCCCCTCTGCCACACCCCTTCGGAAATCCCATCCCTCGGGTTAGGAATGACGAAGGGGTAGTGGCCCAAGATACAGCCTCCCAGGAAGTTCAGTCCCGGGACCGTCACAATGACAACAGAGAAAGGCCCCACACTTCCACCCTCAACCGGCTCGGAGGAGGGCAAGACCGCCGAGGGGTCCAAGACCGCCTCGGAGGGAAAGCACTCCAAAGGCCCCAGGAAAGCGGAGGGTCTGTCTCGAGGGAAGACGAGGAACGTCCCCCTCGGGACAAAGGCAAGGCACCCCTTCATGTCGACGATGCGCGCCACCAAATCAACCAGGCCCACTCGGCCCGGGTTCGTTCGCAGGGGGCGGAGACCCTCCCGAAGGATCCCCGGGACGAAATTATTGCGGCCCTCCAACGCCGGCTTGATGAAATGGAGGCTAACAAAGCTCACGCCACCACCTCCACCCCTCATTCAGACCTCAAATACGAGGCCATGATGGCCAAAATGGAGGAATTACAGAAGAAGGTAGCCGAGGGCTCAGGGGAACCCGACATCCAGCTCCGGACTCGGACGTCATTTACCCCAAGGGTATTGGCGGCCCGGATCCCGGAAAAATACCGAGGGCAACACATACAGCCCTACAACGGGAAGACGGACCCCCAGGAACACTACAACAAATACCAGAACAACATGATGATGGTAGGGGCGTCGGACGAATATTTGTGTCGTTGGTTCCTCTCCACCTTAGAGGGGCCGACATACGAATGGTTCAACCGGCTGCCCGAGGGCTGCATTGATTCATGGCAAGAACTCGCCCAGCGATTCTTGACACAGTTTGCCGGGAGGCATCGCACGAGGAAGCACTTCTCCCACCTCCTAACCATACGCCAGAGGAGGGATGAGACCCTTCGGGACTTCCTGGAACGCTGGAGAACGGAGGCCGACAAAGTCGACGGTGCTGACGACGGGACCCTCCTGGCCCTCCTACAAACCGTCCTCCGCACCGGTAACTTTTCAAGGAGCCTCATCATTGAACCCCCCCGCGACTACATAAGGGCCCTACAGCGGGGGGACCGATACGCTGAGGCCGAGGAGGTGGAGAAATACCACCAGCATCCAGATCAGCAACCCCCGAGGGCTGACAACAAGAATAACCGGGGGCCGGGGGCTCCTCCAAATCACCCCAAGGCTTTAGGACCCTCTGATGACCGCCCTCGGCAAGGCCAAGCCAAGCCCGGGGGAGGTTTTAAGAGCAGCCCTAAGACTTGGGCGCAGCCCATTCTCCTGGACCGCCCCCGGACACCATTGACGCACCCCGTCAGCATCATCCTTGATTTTGCCGAGGAGAGGGGCCTCGTTGAGCGCGATTCTCGCGCACCCCCGGAGGTACATGCTATCAACCCTCAGTTCCCATACTGTCGTTTCCATCGGCACCAGGGGCACAGAACCGATGACTGCCATCAGCTAAAGACGGCCATCGAGAGATTGATACAAGCGGGACACCTGTCCCAATTTATCCAGAGCCCTCGGCAGGAGGGACCTTCTCATCAGGGACCTCCCCGAGGGCACCACACGAAGGTGAACGCTTGGGTGAACCCGAACACCATCCCCCTCGGCAAGAAGAGGGAGATCGGAGACTTGGAGGAGGAAGAGGAGGAGTACCCCCACTACCAGGAGAAAAAACGCCACGTCCTCATGATCACCGGTGGAAATA